ATTCGTAATGTTCAGTTAATTTTATTCTAAGATGAGAGGAAATCTATTTAAATATTCGGATATCTGTTTATTTTTTCAAATCTCGAAATTTCTAATTTATATGAAAAAAATTTTCGAATTAAAATTAATGTGTATTATCTTTTTGTAGTATATGCCTGAATCATATCGAACTAGTTCTTTAATTAAAACAAAACCGTTATGGACAATTTATTATCCTGATCGAGATTCATCACGTAAGAAGTTTTCTTAAAAAAAGTTAATTTTATTTTAGAAAATAACTATTTTTAGTTAAGCGAAAATCGAATCCACAAGATCTTATTAATCAAAATGGTGCTAATATTCATAAAGAAAAATCTTCTGATGATATTGAAGTTATTATGTTGAGTAAACAAGTAAGTTTTTCATAATCAATTAAATTAATTAAATTGTTTATTTATCTATTTTTATTTTGTTAAAGTCAACAACAAAACGTAAAAGAAAAACAATGAATGACGAAAATATTAGTAATAAAACTAAAACTAAAAGATATCGACGTGCTTGTGTTGCTGATGAAGTACCATCAACAATTGTATTAGACAATGATGATGATGATGATGATGAAGAACCAGGAGAAATTATTGATGAGTTATATGAACAAAAACAAACATCATTTCAATCATTTAATTATGAACCTATTAATGAAAATGAAATTTTATCAAATAGTGAGTAACGATGTTTTGTAGCAGAAGAAAAGAATTTACTTTATTCTGATAGAAAAATTTAAACGACCAGCCGATGATGAAGATATTTACGAACCAAATCGTCCAACAAAATCGTCAAAAGTCAAAGTAAATTTCTATACAAAACGACATCGCCAGATTTAATGACATATTTTGAACCATAATATCATATATGCAGTTTTGTAGAGCAAATTGAAGTGTATCGAATGATATCTAGCAAATTACGTTCTATGAGAATTTCGATATACTGAGTGTTTAGATACTGATTATAATCTTGGAAGAATATAGATGGTACTCAAAGATATTCTGGTTCATAAGATAATCTTATGCTAATTTAGTTTTTAAACTTATTTTGGATGCAACTAAATGCTTTTCAGTTGCTTATAATCAATAGTTTCCTTCTTTGCTTTAAAAAAAATGATTCCTTTTCTTCGGTCCAGGTTATGTCTTGATGATATTTAAACAATGCTCTACAGTTCTATTAAAAGTTTTGATGTAGGAATAATCAGCACAGCATTACTGATAATTTGATATAAATAACTCTTTTATAACAGGAAACAGAACTTTTTGGCCTCCGGAACGGTCGGGAGAGCATGGGGATGTGGAATCATTTCTTTTTAAAAGGAACACGAGATATTTATAGATTCTTATAGAGTTTCATGGAAAAATCAAGCCCGGAAACTCGTAATAAAAACTTGAAAACGCAATAATAAAAATAATAGACTTCCTTCCTGCAATCTTATACTGTACGTCCTCCGGGATTTCGAAGGCCAAATAGTTGTTTTCCTGTTATAAAGCACTCATTTATATCAGTTCATTAAGGATGCTGTGCTGATTATTTTTACATAAAAATTTCTAATGAGACCATTGAGTACTGTTAAAATATCGTCGATATATCGATTCTCGCATAAAGGAAAATAGGCTATTCTAAGGAATAATTTTGTAAGTTAACTATGAGCCCCTACTGTTTCGAAAGGTGTTATGTGTGAAACACTCAGAGTTCGATTGTGTACAATTTTTAAGAAAGTTTTACATTTGTATTCACTTGCTTTGTGATACAAAGTTGAAGACACTAAAATATCATATAGTCAAGACATAACCTAGACTAAAGGAAAAGGACTATTTTTAGATATGAAGAAAGCAACGGTGAAATCTATTGATTATAGACGTTTGAAGAGCATCTATCACTGTATTGATTTGAGTTTAAAAACAATATTTGCATAAGCTTATCTTAGGAGCCATAATTTGTATGAGTACCATATATACTCTTCAAAGATTATAATTAGTAATTCCATCTATAGCACGTCAAACTTTTCATAAAGCTTGATTTCTGATACATCCTTCGATGCATCATAATTAATTCTACAAAGCCATATACATGGTATTCTCGTTCTAAATACATCACTCAAATCTGATCAAGTCTTTGCTACTTATTCATAATATTATTATTTCTAGACTCCAAAACGACCTGGTGCTCAACAAACAAACAAGTCTTTTTCATATCCATTTCCCAAAAGGACATAATTTTATTTATTATTTCTGTTTGTTTTTTTTTTCATATGTTTTGTTGTTTATTAAAAGCTGGATTAAATTAAAAAGAAAACCAATCACCTAGAAATAAGAGAAGAAAAGATAAATACATAACACCATTCGATATTGATATAATTTGTCCAAATATCATTTAGATTACAGGATCTATTTTTGAAGCCCGATAACGCATTGTAAACAATGCTAGTGCAGCAATAGCTGATACAACGCTAGCTAGTAATTCAATAGCAGCAATAATATTATTTCTTGTCGGATTTTTTGGTATCCAATTATTTTCAACAATACCCCAAAAGAATATAATAAAAACCAGCCATGGTGAAAATTGATATGCACATCTTTCAACAAGTACTGCATTAAGATTAGGTCCAAAACAATATGCACCAGCTATAATGATTGCTATGATTAATGATATTGTACCAGCATTAACCATTGATAAATTACATTTCACTTGAAGAAATATATCGAATGTAAGAATAAAATGAACAGCTAAAGAAAAGGAAAAAATTATAAAAAAAAATTCAAATCATTTTTAAACCTGTCCAACAAGCAAAGAATGCTACACCATTTTGAGCAAAAAAACGAAGACACCAAATATCTCGATTACTAAAGAATAAGAAAAACAAAGACAAAAAACATGTTTTTTTTTTTTTCTTTCAAATCAATTACTTACAATCCTTCTGTTTCATAGATTTTTTTATTTACTGCTAAATTATTATTAATAATAAATAAAGCAAGTGATAATAATAAAAATGAGACTAAATAAATAATCCAACTCCACTAAAAAAAGAGAGAAAAAAAAAACAATACCAAATGTTTCATATCATATATTTCTATTTACGATTGTATAAGTTTTATAGAAAAATAAAAGCCAAATTGTTTGAATAAGAAAACCAAAAATATAAATAATGGTAAATGTGAATGTTAATGTTTTTGGTGATAAATAAAGATAACCATTTGTTGAACGACGATAAATAAACGTTAATGAATACAAAAGCCAAGCAAGCTAAAAAACAAAACTCCTCTCTTCTGTTAAATAAAATAACATTATATTTGTTTTACCTGCCAAAAATAATTAAATACATTTAAACTTCGATAAACCCAATAAGATGGTGTTATATCATTAACAAACAATTCTTCAAGACGATATGTTTTATTGGGAAAAACACCTAAAGATTAAAATAATAAATTAATCTCTTGTTCTTTTTGTTAAGAAAAGAAATTTTACTATTATTGCTTTGTTCGAATAATTGATCGACAATAATATAACCAACAAATAAAAGAACCGTACCAATAAGTGATGCTAATCGAATATAATTATGGCGATATCCGCCCGATGGAACTTGATTGTTCACTAACATGATTTACAACTAAATCAAATGATGTTTTTCTTTGTTATATGAAAATAACTTTATAATACAGTTAGACAAAAGTTTGTTGACAATCGGTTTCGAATTTATCGGTTCATTACAATAGCTCAACGACTGTTTTAATCATAATGATCATTAACTTTGGTTATAGTAATCCGAAAAGGGTTAATAACAAAAAAACAGGACTTTACCATGATCATTGTAGAACATATTCAGAGACATTTACTTGAATACAACGAAACAGGTTAAGTTTCTTACTTTTGAAATCAAATTTTTCAAAAAAACAAACTTCAGTTCTGACAACAGAATAACTCAAACAATTAATTGCCAAATTTCGATTTTTAATTTTCGTTCAAAAAAAACCAGATCCAAGTATTTTTATGATATTTTAGAAGTTTCACTCGTAATGAATATTTCATTTTCAAACTATTAAATAATGTGCTATTCACACCAATTCTTCAATGCTTTTCTAGTCTCATCAAGATCTTATATTGTTAATTCGACTTCATAACACACGAAACAACCTTGACAGTTTATGAATAACTGAAACTTTTCATCGAAAAATTATTAATATTGATGCTTTTTGATCCTCTGAACTTTTCAATAAAAATCATTGATCGCTAATTCTTTTTTCGAACAAATGAGACCAACCATTACACAAAATGATTGTTTCAAATACCTACCATGAATAGTAAACACAATTAGTTTTCTGTACTATAGCTTCTTTTTTTTAAATATATTCTTTAATTTCACGAAAACAATATTGAGTGAGTACGACGGTCACATACGGTTAACGAGTGCTCACAGATGGAAACAAATAATTGAATTGTATTACAATATTAAAAAAGAAATTCGTATTAATTGGAATATTTAAATTATATATATAGACGTATTAAAATTAGATGTCTTCTATTTTAAATTAAATTGAACTAAATTAAAAAAACAAGAAAAGTTGCTAAAACTATAAACTTACATGTCGCAAGAAACACAAACGCACAGGCCAAAGTTTCTTTTCGGAGCAATAATATAATATTGCTCTGCTTGATTTGATACTCTCGTTACAATCGAAGATATCAAGTGATACGATAGATGAATGAATAACGGTATGATATAGCAAAAAAACTTCATAACAATATCAAATATATGAGGGTCAAGCTGATGCCTTTTGGCACTTATACAATCAGTAAAAAAAACAGAATAATAATTATTATTTTGTATTCTACATGTATATCATTTTGTATATCGTTCAATATTGTCAACAAAGTTGAAGATTAAAATAAAATCTATCTAATATTTTACAAAACAAAAAACTAGCGAAAAGAATTTTTCAATAAAATTATCACCATTATTTATTTTTTCATTTTGTTCATATCGTAAACATTTCATCTGTTTGTTTTAATACTACACCTTGTATCGGTACTTGTGATAATGTTTGATTAAATGAATCTAATTTAAATATTGCATCAGTTACACTAAGCATAAGTGCTAACATCATTATAATTATAAACATAAATATAAAAAGAAATAAACTTTTACCCACATACATTTTAAATTGTGCACGTTTATATTGTTGACGTTCTTCAATAACTTTTGTTTTTGATAAATCAATTAACATGTCACGTATAGCCGGTGGACAATATCGAACAGCTGTTTCATTTGCATCACCACGGCTTACAGCTAATATAAATTGTCGTGTTGGAATTGAAAACGATAAACCATTAACATCAACATGTATTACTTGTTCAGATGGTATACGTTTTAAACGAATTAATTGACTACGACCACTTATATCAATAATAACATTACTGGGAACAATATGTGATATTGTATTATCATATTCATCTAGAAGTTTATTTGTTTGTCTATTCATTAAAGCAACAAGCAAAATAAGTTGGGCTCGAACACTTTTTGGTTTATATGTATCACTAAGAGCAAGAATGTCCGGTAAACGTCGTCGAACAATAGTCCATTTTGATATAGTATATTTATCTTCATCATCTAAATTGTTGTCATAAAATGAAAGTGCTGTTTGAGCACGACGATGACGTAGTTTGACTCCATGTATTCTTTCATTGACGATTGAAACCTGTTCGTGAGATGACTTTTGATTTATAACAAAAAAAAACACACACACATATTTAAAATATAATTGAGAAAAATTTCTCTTGTAAATACTTACTAAATGATGGGGAACAACTTGTTGATGTTTATAACGGTCACGGTAGGATTGCCTTGAGGAAAGAGGAGTATTCGTACACATTAAATTTAGTTGTATATGTTATTCAAAAAAACGAACGATTGACAAGAGTATTTGATCTCGTCGTTAATATTACGATTGTTTTATAATGACATACTTAACCTTTTTTTTTATACGAGTAGAATAGGTAAGGTTTCATATACGTTCTTTTTCTTGTAAGATATTTGCAGTCGTCTATAGGCAGATTAGGAATGAAAACAATCAACATACTAGTCAAAAAATTTTGTTCTTTCTATAAACAGATCATTACGGCATATTTACATGGAATGATACAAGTTTAATAATTAAATAGAATCTAATTAAACAATTTTAGTTATATTTATACAATTAATACTATTTAAAAAAATGAAATTTTATCATTAACAGAGTTGCTTTTTTTAGTTTTTATAGCTTTTCATATATAAAAAGAACACTTTCATCAATTGCTATTTATGTTCTTTTTTTTGTAAGATGTAAATTTACTTCTTGATAGCGAACAGTTTTTTTTAGTAGATTCTTCATCATTTAGATGTCTCAATATTTGTTAAAACAATACCGAGAAAGATAATCTATGTCATTAATGTGCAAATTTTAGTTTAATATATTAGAAAACTAATACTCGATTTAATATTAATCTTTAGTTCAACTTCGTTAATTGACTTTATACTTAATTGTATTATTTGTCTAAAGAAGAAGAATCCAACTGAAACTTTTTATCATTATCATACACAATGAAATAGTCTTTAATCTATTTTTATTTTATTTTAAACATTTCAAATACTTCGCGTGTTTTTTTATAACTTAATATTTGCAATTAGTGATTACTACTCATGTATTACTTTACTTAATGTTATTCTATATTGAAGAACTAATAATGAATCATAGTACTTAAACAAAGTTCAAAAGAAAACCCATAATAATAATATTTTAAATCGAAATAAAAACTTCTACTAACTATTTTTTCATACAAGAAATATTAATCGATTTATCTATTTAGTATTCAGTTCAGTTATAAAATATAAATTAGTTTCTATAAGCAAAATGACATAAATATTTAGAATGAGTAATGGATACAAAAAAAATAGAAAAGTATAATGCATAGTCATTAAACATGCATTAAGAAATATCTTTTGTTACATAGTTATTTCCATTACTCTTTAACATTACGTTACGCTTATTGTTCTAATAATCTTGTGGTACCGTTTAAAAAAGAAAACTACTTCAACTTCATGCACGGTATCATTAAATAAGTTTAAATACCTTCAAGACTCTTTGTGCATACAATTGATAAGTAAATAGTATGAGAAATGTTGTTTTTCTAGCAAAAACTGATTTTTTTTTTTGATATACCCAAAACAAAAGAAATTTTGTTTGATTATCTTTGAAAACTGAAGCGGAAAAAATTCATCTTTTGTTCGACAAGACTTCATTGGAATTGAAGAATACACTATACGAGCACAACTGATTGAGTATAGTATACAATGAACTTCTGATTCAAGTATACTTTATCATAACCTGAACCCTATTTGATCTAGATATGTCCGACCATGAGTTCTCAAAAACTGGTTTATACATAAAAGTGATTGCTTCTGTTTTTCTTTGTTCTTTTCTGTTAACAATAAATAATAGATTTTTAATCATAACAACAAAAAGAACTTGATTATTTCAAATCCTCAAAATACATTGTTGACAAGTGACGGCTATTTCAATAATAAATGCGGTCAACTTATGATTAATTTGCTTGTTTTTTTGGTTCAATTCATGATACTTTGATTATTCTATATCAATAAATATTCATTGCTTCAATCGATTTGAGACAACATTTTTCTATTTAAACTATATATCAATGATTTTGTAAAATATTTTCGAAATACGACAGAGATTGGTTACTGCGAATAGACAACAAAGACCTCTAGAATTTGCTTTTCTTGATGTTTTACATTAATATTCTTAGCTGATTTCCTTTATTTTATATAGAAGGGATTTAACATTCCCATATTGATTACAAGTTGAGTTTGCATTTGTATAGCTTCTTTTTTCATTTACATTGTATATACATGTATAATAAAATACAAACAATATTAGCAGAATATTCTAACAAAATATAATTCAAATGTGTCATTATTTCATTGACTTTGTTTTGATTAATTAAAACTGTAAATTAGATTTTTACAATTTAAATATGACCATTTATGTAAATCAAATTATCGGTTCTGTTAAAAACATTTTCCAACTTTTCTTTTCTTTTCTTGTCTAAACACACAAATATCGTCATATTAAGTGATATTCTATTGAAACAATAATAAATATCATTAACCTTTGAATATTACAACAATATAAATGACGTATCCTTCAAATGATATTTCATTAAAAAGCTTTCAATTACCTTTATCAAAATCAGTAAAAAACAATTTTGTTTAATTTATGAATTTATTTCATTTGGATGAATAAGTAAAAATGTTCATTGAAAACTTTCTTCAACAATATCAAAGAATTGTCATTTAACTTAAATAAAAAGAAAATAAATCAAGAAAAATAATGTTTGATTGAACAGAAAAAAAAAGAAATAGTTCATAAAGTCACTTTTTTATTATTTACCAAACACCGTAGTTCCGTAAAAGAAGAGATTGAAATAGAAATTGATTGAAAAAAAAATCTTACAACATTTTTTATTGATTACGCTCTGTATTCTATTATCTATCACGTGTGTTAATCAGCCAAATCGCACATTTCCTACGGGAAAGCAAAAAAGAAGAAATGCATATTTCTAGTAGCTCTACAAAAGAATTTTCTTTTTTGTTTCTTGTGTTTCTAATATAGATGATTGATAATTATAAAACAAAAAGAAAAATGTCATATAATAAAAAGCTTTGTTAGTAAGAAAAAATTTCTAGTAGTTAATTTTAAACGAGTGTATTTTTCATTTCAATATATCGTTTTTATGTTCTTCTGTTTCAAAAAAAAAAGAGAAAAAAACTTTAATTTATACTTTTCCATTTATAGCTCTCACTTGAAAGTGCAATATTCGCAAATGAAACAAAAAAAAAAAACGAGAAGGAAAAAGAAGTGTTGATGAAAATGAAGCAAAATAAAAAGGAAAGTTGAAATTAAAAACGAAATTGTCATAAAATGAATTTTGTAGTGAGACTATACAATAAAAAAAGAAGAAAAAGAAAAAGAAAACGACTGTTTTCAAATGCTAAACACAATTGCACGGGTATTAACCAATTTATCACTACGCAAACGAAACGGTACATTCTGACTGAATATAGATGAGAAACCGACCAGCAGTATCTCACTTGCATTTTAATTATTTTTACGTCCGCTCAGATCCTTCATCATCATCATCAGAATATGTTGCTTTAGATGAATAGGCTGTTGTTGCCGCTGCTCTTTTTTTCTTTTTCTTTCTCATTCGATGATTATTATCTTTTTTTGATGATGCTGCTGATGCTGTTACTGATCCATTTCCATTTTGAGCAGGTATACCAGAATCAGGATTTTGTGAAGGCAATGAATCAGATATATCATTTGGTACTGAATTTATAGTTCCACTTGCTGTATTATCACATTCACGTAATTGTTCAAGTGTTATTATATTATAATGTGAATCAAATACAGCTGGTGTCAGATCATTCGATGCACGAACAATACGTATAGCATGTACTTTATCACGTAAAGAATTTATTGATGAGTTATCCGAACTACGTGTACGACAACCAAAACAACTTGTTAAGGATAACCATATATTTGATGGTTGATTTGAATGTAGTTTTCTGTGTCTTATATTGTCATAATTTCCTAAAATATGACCACTATTATTTATTTGTTGTGGAGAATTTGATGAATTACTATGATGTGAAGGTGAATGACCATGACGATTATTATTATTGCCGGGTATTCTAGAATGATTATTAGTACCACTATCACCATGATGGTGATGGTGATGATGATGATGATGATGATGTAATGAACTAATAGGAGAAGCGTCCGATATCGGAAATTCATATTCCATTTTTGATGAATTTTCACTACGTATTAAACGTGCAATATTAGGTGATTGTCGATGAAATGATGATTGATTGTTAAGACCGGCCATGGCACCCATTTCGGACGATTGAGACGATTCTGCAGTGCCCATTTTGACATCCTAGAATAACACAGATATCTATTTATGTTATAAATAAATAAATAAGAAGAAAAAAAAATGTCATTTACAGACATGCAAATAACATTCGCTTGATTTCTTTAGCAAATGAAAAAGAAATCTTTTCTCTTCATTTCTTTTTTCTTCTTTTTTTTTTCTTATTGTCTAATCTAGATTACAGATTAACAACGATTTTTCTTTTATAATTTACGAAACAAGAATTAGATTTCTTTCATATATGTATATACTAATAGAAGATTTTTAGTTTTATGATGTCATCAACAAAATATAAGACAAAAACAGAAGTTTCTTTTACTTTTGGGTGATATTATTGTATACAAATAATTGAATTCGATATTTTATTACTTTTTCAAAGTCGACGAAAATCAACTTATTATTGTTGATTCTACTTACATGCCGATTGTGCACCGTTTAGCATTGTGAATAGACATAAAGGTAAGTAAAGACCTATTATGACGTACATAATGGTAACACGTCGATAAAGAAGGAAAAAAAAGAAGGAAAGATCTTTTCTCATTCATTCACTTATTTCTTCGTTTCTTGTTCTCTCTCTCTCTCTCTTTTTCGCTTAGACAGATTCCTGTCGAATAGAACTTTACTATTCAACTGTCTAGATTCTTATGGTTTTTTTTCTCATTCTTCACCTTTTCTATGGCTCGAACAAGGCGTATTGTGCACGGAAACACCTCACGTCAGAGAGTCACGATGCCATAAACAAAATGAGCGAGAGAGAAAGAAAGAAACAAAAAAAAAGAAGCAGGAGAGTGAACATCCGGAGCAGCATGCAAGAAAAATGCTGTTCCTCATATTATTACATAGTGAACATTAATAAAAAGAGAAAACTAGAACAAAGCTTAAGTACAACCGCCCTTTTTTCTTTAAATAAATATATATATATATATATATTTAATGCATCTCCTTTCTAATACACACTGGTCGTCTGTTAGATTTTCATCAACAATATAAACATGATAGTTTTGTGTTTCTTTTCTATTGATCAATATTTTCTATTTCGAATTCGTATGAACAAAAAGTAATACGTACCATAGGTTTTGTTTTTTTTTCTATAATAATAGTAGTACGATTTTTCTAACTATCGTTGTTGTGATATTACCAAAGAGACAAATTGGCATTGGAAGAAAGCATACTAACGTGCGTCATATCGATAAAAAGCGATGCTTCTCCTACTTCGCTGTTTGACACATTTTCTAGCAGACACAAACAAGAAAGAAAAAGCCCATGAAGGATTAATCGGTGGTGTTGCTGATTCTGTCTTCTCTTTCTGTTGTTGTTTTTATTATTATTATTTCAGTTCCTAGCACCCGTCGGCCTACCACCATCGTTTGCTCGAATATGTTTGTCGATCGAGCACCGCTAATTGGAGCGTGTGATAGTTCAACATACTCATCTATTCGTATATATATAAAAGAGGCGTATTACATCCGCCTAACGGGGACTATTACTGACTTGTAAGCGTAAGTCATGCAGGAAACTAACGAAAATAGAAAAAGAAAAAAAAATCGACTAGTAAACATGATAAAATGATTCAAATAAAAAAGCAATCTTTGTTATGTTTTTGATAGAACAAAAAAAGAAAGAAAAAGAAACAGAGAAATATCTCCTAATAGATCTTGTACCAGAATCAACATACTTGTCTTCAACTCTTGTCAATGTTGATAGACGAAGAGATCAACAAGAACGTCAACACACATCATATATACTATATCGATATGATTTGTACTCTTACAAAATCATGGTAGATAGAATTAATAATTTATTTAAATTACATAAATTCATTTTGTATTTTTTCTTCCTATATCTAGAAATATAATTCATCCATCTACTATCTTATTTTTTTTCTTTTGGAATATATCATATTTTATAGTAATATTATTTTCCCATTTACTATCATCAAAATATAGAAAAAATGGATAATAATAAATGTATATGCTATAGACCAAATAGAAAAATAATTAATAATCAACAGAGTTTGTACTAAATCGATATACACATAATAGCAAAGAAAATATTAATTATTTCAATGATACGTAAAAAAAACAACAAAGTAGATTTTACTTTCTTTCTTACTTTTTCGTATAATCTATGAACAAATAACAAAAATGGAAAGATTTATGTATATATATCTAGTACAACTAAAGACTATCGGCTCAATGTGCATGAAAGACGAACGTCAACTTATTTTGGAATAGGAAACAAGAAAACGGGAGAGGGAGAGAGAGAAAAAAGCTGGTCTTGTCGATCGTTCTATCTATTGAGACGAGTTTGGGGCGTATGGTCTGGCGTCGAGCTACTCGTGTCGATGGATCACGAAACAACAACGACGACGATATTGATGAGTGGAACGCGCCAAACACAATTATAAGATCGACGAAGAAAATAAGAAGGGCAGTTGTCTCGTTTCTTTCATCATATTCATTTCGATGCTTTTGTTATGCGTTATTTGTTGATGATCTCTGCAATGTTTTGTATATGAATAAGCGATACTATGTGGAATAATAAGACAAGACGTAGTAGTTGTAGCAAAAGCAAAATTTTCCTTCACTCTCTCTCTTTTTTCTGGCACTCTATATGAAGATTCATCTAGCCACTTTTAGTGCAACGTCTACGGCAACGAGCTAATGAGCTGGCGGGAGAGATTTCGGGTTATTCGTAAATATGTGCGCATGTTCTTTTCTTTGCTTTCTCAGTTTTCAACAAAAAAAAATAGTGGAAAAAATGAGACGACATTTCCTTTTTTTTCCTCATTTTTCTCTAAGCTTTCTTTTTCTTTTTATTTGAAACAACGACGCACTAAAGCTAATTGGACTACTGCTGTTGTTGTTTTTGTTATAGTAGAGTTAATATTGATGATCATACTGGTTTGTTATGTCTGAAGTCTGTGTAATGACGTACCAACACTACCAATTCTCGTCTCTAGACGCACTGATTGATCGTTTGAGTGTTTATTTTACTTGCGAACAAAAAACGAATATACATTCGTATAGATAAACAAATAATATAACAGGGAAAAGAAGGTAATCAAGATAGAAAACAAATATGTAATCTAAATCCAATAGAGTTTTCAAGATAAAAAAAAACATGTGTTAACATAACAAAATAATTCATTCTCTTATTATATTTATATACAAAAAGAAAGAAACAACATCATATTACTTATTTGAAGAAATATTTCGATAATGTCTTTTTCGGTAAAGATTTCATTTTTTGAACATAGTATTAGTAACAGATACTATTATTTACTATAAAATGATCAAGTTCAGTCTATATGACTTTGAAATGCTAAAAATAAAAGGATTAAGACATCTTTTTTTGATGAGGCTAATACTAATATACTATCTACTATAAGTACAATAACAAAAAAATCTATAATTACAAATAATATATAAACACAGAATTATATTTTTGGAGCCTTGTTTATTTAAGTTCAACATTGATGATCATATAAAATGTTCTGTGTTTTCTTGTATTAAAAAACAATTTTTAAAATTTATATCTTCTAATAATGTATGATGAAAATTTTTCATCACAATTGTAATTTTTTCATTTATGGAATCAAATAAACAATAATGAATTTATAATTATCAATTTTTACAGTTGACGTGTGAATAGCACATGATTATTAACGTGTCATTTTTTCTTCTCTCATTACAGATAGACAGTTGTGTTTTTATTAATCTGCATTTAAACAGATGCTCTTATGATATAGCGCCTTGGGAAATGTCCTATTAGGTCATTAATAAAATGGAGTTTTCATTTTCTAAAAGGAGTATATTAAAAAAAGTAACATTGATAACTTTGTAAAAGTCAAGAAAGCACAGAGAACTTGAATATTAATAAACTCTTCAGTGAGTACTGTCCTTTATCAGTAGTGTCAACATTCACTTGTCTAATATTTCTGTTTTCTTCAGGTAATATTTAGTAAACCATCTTTTTATATATCGATTATAAGCGGCTCAAGAATCGTTCGATGAAAATATTGTTTGAAAGTCTCAATGAATCATATTTGTTAATACTTAATAGCTATGAATTATATACATATATATATAATAGTTGCGTTTTTTGTGTCATAAAAAAGAATGTTACTTTAAAATTTAAATAATCAAACAAAATTTTTATTTTAATATTATCTTTTGGATTACATAAGGCTTTTGTAAATATTCACAAAAACGAATTCTATCATAGAAGTATTTTCCTATGTTCATATATGATAGTGATTCTGAAATATTTTCATTTGTTTTTTTTAATCCAGAAGACATGTAATAGTGAAATCTGTCTAACATGATTCTTTTTGCTATATTAAATCTCAATTACTAACAGAGCAGGACGTGATGAAGGCGCTGTAATGTGACGAAGAAATAAATACAATTGACATATTGAAGAGACAACGAAAGAAAACAACAGCTCAAACTACAATGACAAAACTAACATAATGATAATAATAATAGTAATAATAATAATAATAATAAAAGAGACGGAATCGGAACAATGAATCTGTCTATATATTCTAGTGACAGAAATAAGGAACATGCATTAATAATAAAAAGAAAAAAAGAACATTAATTCTGAAAGTAGAATATAAAAGCTACTCACTTGTCGGCTATGATTTAATTCACATTGGTTGAGCATTTCAATGGAAGACATTAGAAAAAAAACATAAGTTTTATTGAAAGATTTGGCATATAAGATGAAGTTTATATGAAAGTTTTCTGTTTATATGTTCATTGTCATTGTGTTACATGTTGTTTTTTGTTTTGTATGCGTCATTAAATTGATGGTTTCTACTGTGATTGTGCAGGCCAAAGAAGATAGACAAAGTTTATGAAGACAAATAACACATGGAAAAGTATGAAAGAGAAAAAGAAATGAATGATTCGAGAATGCTAGAATAGGACAAAACAATTATGTTTATATAAGTGAAAGAGAAAATGAAAAGATACTCAAACTCAGCGAACATATGTTTGTGATCAGTTCGTATGTCTTCTTATGTCTGTAAATCAAAACTAAGAAGACGTATTTTCTTTAGTAAAGACCAAGGTCGTGTCCAATAATAACGAGAATGAGAAAAAAAAAAGAAGATTATGCTTTCGGGTTCATCAACTACTACTTCGAGATATATTTCTAACTCGAAAGCCTGGCTTTTTTCTTTCTTTCTTTCTTTTTTCGCTAGAACAGCTAATGGTAACACAATTAGTGTGAGTGCTACGTAAGTATGGAAGATAGATGTAGAGTGTATGTGTCTCTATCAACTAAAAACGAATCACTAAAAACTTGTGTATCAATAGCACGTAGAAATAACAAAAAACATATCTAAGAAAATAAAATCTTGCTTATTCAAAAGAAATTTGCTTTGTCTTGTAATAAAACAAGTTATATCTATAACGCATCGATGATCCATTTCATATAATTAGCTTAATATACTAAACGACACGTAAACAAAATTTTTCTTCAATACTTAATGATGTGTTTAAAGAGGATGTATGTAAACTCCATACTTTAATATTGACTATCTGTTCTGTAATATAGAACTCTCATAATACGAGTAAACAATTCGATGATTATTAAAATAGAATATTCATTATTTCTTATTCCTTAAGGAATTATTTCTTTTAGAATAACCATTAAATATTTACCATCTTAGTTTGATCTTTTAGTTCTAATGAGTCTACATTCATCAATTATAGCAAATCCAATAGCATTGATTTTATGGTATTATTTTTTTTCTTGTTAGGATAACATGATATTTTTGATATGTCGAAAAAGTTTTTTCAAACAAAATAGGATCTATAAAAAGAAAAAAGGTCAATAGACTGATAAACAAAAGAATGTATATACAAGACTATCCTTGATGCAGAATAATTATGTCTCACCAAACAAAATCATTAAATAACATGAGAAGAAAAAGTAAAAAAAAACATGACTATTGTTGAATTTTATTATTATTATTATAATTTCGTTTCAGTAATGTATCAAAAATAATTAAATCTAGACATGCGATTTGTTGATTAGTCTTTTCTCTATAACATAAATTGATAAAAAAAAAGTAGAGACAGAAGAAGCACTGCTCTATCGATGAATATAACATCAATACTATTTTGAAATAGTTGGTTGGTAACCACTTCAGATGTGATTAATATAATTGATATAGTGAAGCAGAATGATTATATTAGATAGGAACTAAAGTGACGATTAGTTGTAATGCTTATTTGATAACGTCAAGTACGATGCTACCAAGTTTCATATGCTAGAATGATTCTATCCAATAGTTCTTTCGGCAATTATTTCGCTTCGATGAACTTTTTTTAAAAAAAAAGCAAACGAAAGGAAAAAAATGACTATCATTGTTATAGAGAATGAACATAAAATAAAATTCAATTTAAAATTTTCTTTTATATTAAGAACATTATATAAGATACATATATATATATATGTTTAAGTATAATTGAAACTGTCATTGATAACTTCGTTTAGCCATTAAATATTAATTATTTCCAATGAAGAAGTAAGCAAGATGTCTGCCAAATCAGAAAAAACCGCTCTTTTGATGAGTTTCAATTTTTTTGTCTTTTCAAAAAAAAATTTGTCAAGTGTTAAAACCAATATTATTTTTTTTAACTTTATAATGTAAGTACAAAGTTTGACCTGCCTTTACACGTCTGACTTTCATCTTAATATAAGTCTTGTCTAAAAACATTAAAATCAGAAAGTTGTTCACTTTAATTTCCTTATTTCCTCGTCGGATGTTGATATGTCTCATCAAATTAACAACAACAGGAAAAAAACAACGATTCATTCCACATATTGCGTCGCATATCAACTGTCACCTAGATTTCCAAGGATAAAAAAGACATTAGAAACTATAATGGATAATTTCATAACCAAAAACGATTAATATACGTCATTTTGTATTATTCAAAAAACAAACCCATTGGTAGAATAAAAATATAGTACTATCATAGTACAAATGTTATTTTTTACTCTTATTAATGATATTTGATTGACAGCGGTTAGATAAGGATATAGATATAGCAAAAATTGTAAATCTCTTTCTTTTTCATACATATCTACAAAAGACATTAGTATACATTAGTCTTGTTTTTGTGCTCTACGTTAAACTTTATAATGCATCACAGGGAACTATTGATAGTTACTTTATTAATTTTAACTTGTAAGATTTCTGGTGAAGAACATGAATTAATCTATAATAATGATATAGTCTATTATGATGAATGTCGTCTATCGGTTTCACCACGTAATTATCTTAAACCGGTAAATGCTTATGCTCAAATACAAAAGCCATGCAACGGTACATTACTTTGGACTCATCCAAACTTACATTTAATATTAACATTAGTTAATCTTGAAAATGAAACATTTACATTATGTTTTGAAAAAAGACCTATTCAAGATAAACTTATTCGTTCAATAAAAAATATTAATTTAGCTACAAATCAAACAAATACTATGCGTGAAATAGATACAAGTTCAGGTGTACTTTTATGTACAACAAGTCAAGGTAATAGTCTATCAACAATTATTGAGGCACAACCATTTTATGCTGGAGTTTATATACGTTATGCTATGTTTAATCAACGTCATCCATGGACATCTGGTCCATATCCTGGTTGGGAAAGATCTGAGAAATATTTATATGGACCAACTGAACATATACCAAAGAAACAAAAGAAGATGCGACGTAATCGAAAGAAAATTCATTGAATGAGACAAAAAAATTGAAAAACTCGAAAAATAATATATTTGCTTAATACTTTTCATCCTTGCATTACCCTTGTTTTGTTTTATGTTGTAGTTTTGATTTATATAACACAAATAATTCTGAGATTTTTATTTCTATTAACATAAATCGAATATCTTTTGATAAACAAACTAATTTGTTTCCTAGAATATTCTTATATATTATTTCATCTGTTTCTTTAATTTGATAAAAGTAAAGGAATTTACACTCAATAGCCTTCGACTATTCAACAGAAATATTCCTTAGTAAGATTCTCCAATTTCTCTCTATTCGGCTATAATTGAATGCCATTAGCATTTTTTTTTCGATATATCATCTCTGCCTACTACCGCCATCATAAGTTAGAATCATCACTTGTGAAAATATTATCATATAAAAACGTTTCTTTTCTCTTCTTTCTTTTGAATGATAAATTCGTAATACATGACCTATATTTAAATAGAGTACGAAATTAAACAAAATTTTCAGCAATATCTATGTAATTATGAACTTAGATTCTTTGATAAACTCATCTGTAAACCACTGAAACAAAAACTATATTCTATCAAATAGAAATTTATTTGAAACAAAAGTCAAATTCATATCGATATATATTTATGATAACACACATTGTGGATGTTCGTATGTACTATGTTGTCATAACTGCAGATCTACAACAATCGAGATAATGTGAATGAATACATATTCTTCTTATAATCAAAAATGTTCAAAACTATCTAATAGCAGTATAAACAATGTGACAACACTTGTACTCTATCTATTTGTAATATTCCAGACTAATTTCACACAATTCTTCAAATGAATTTGTTGGTATTGTTATCGGTGTTTGTTGATACCTATTGACATTATAAATAAATAAAAAAATATGATAAAAGAAACAACGTCATTTGTTGCTTTTCTTTCTCTCGAATAGAATTAGATAACTCACAAAACAAGAACGAAAAAAGATACATTTCGACTCTTCCATTGATTCATGCCGCCGTTACGAAATATTTCGTGCAAATCAGTTTTAGCACTGATTATATCATGTGTTTTGGTTATAATTGGTATCATAGGTATTGTTTTTGGACCTGGTATACTTCAAAAACAAATAAATAATAATTTACCATTAAGTGTCGATTCTGATCAACTTGATTCATGGAAAACACCACCTGTTCCAATTTATTTACAATTTTGGTTATGGGAATGTGTTAATGTTGTTGATTTTATTCAAGGAGCAAAACCACTGATTGTTGAACGTGGTCCATTTACTTATTTAGAACATCGCACAAAATCTGGAGTATATTTTAATGAAAACTATACAGTTACATATCGTCAACCAATATCATATACATTTTTACGTAATATGTCAATTGATGATGAACAAGTACCAATAACAATGGTCAATACACCAATAGTTACAATCATTTCGCTTGTTCGTAATCAATCAAATATAACACAAGAAATATTTAATTTTATTAAGAATGTTTTTAATGAATCATTATTTGTTACACATACAGCACGTGAATGGATTTGGGGTTATGAAGATCGATTACTTAAAGCAGCAAGAGCAATACCTATTTTACAAGATTTAATACCCGATGATCATTTTGGATATTTTTATGGACAAAATGGAACTGATGATGGATTATATACAGTATTTACAGGTAGAATACAATGAGAAATTATACAGATCATTTTTATTATGTGGTATTATTTTGCTTATAGGTCAAAAACATATCAGCTTATTAAATATTATTAATAAATGGAATGGTAAGTTAATTACTTTGTAAATCATATTAGACATGAAAAAAATTTAACACAATAAACTTGAAATAGCTAATGAATATAGTTAATAGGGATTATCCCTAGAGAGAAAAAAACGCGACCTTAGTACTTCGAAGTACTGAGGTCGAACTTTTTCTCCGTTGGCTTACTCTTATTTGGCTATGAGTGTTGTCTTTTCACCTTTGCTTGAAATTACAGAAGGATTGAAAAAAATGTTGCAATATAAATATTATATTTTCTTTTCACACTAAATTTGTACTGTATCTTTTTGATATGTATACTCGTATAACATCTCATTCTTGTTCGTAAACGTTTGCAAAAAATTATACAAAAATCACAAAAAAATGTATGGATGTCACGAATAAAATTCAGCATAATTAAAAAAAATCTCATTCTTGAGTTTTTCCGCGTAGACACTATTATTGATAATAAAAATGTTGCTTTGTAACTCTTTACCTTCGTTCTAGTATGAAAAGACATAATTTATATCTAAGGTTGCGGTACTGAAATGCATTGTTTAACCGTATGATTACTTTTATTTGATATAGAAAATATTTTTATAAATTTTTCTTGTAAAATTTTCATAAATAAATATTTTTATAGGTCTTTCGTATCTACCTTATTGGAAAACATTATGGGGTAATCAAATCAATGGAACTGATGGTTCATGGTTTCCTCCTTTAATAAATAAAGATCTTCAATCTGAACGTTTATATATGTATTCAACTGATATATGTCGATCAGTCTATGCTACATTTGAACATCATTCAGCAATATTAAAAATTCCAACAGAAACATTTTCGATTCCATCTGAAGTATTTCTTAATTCTACACTTAATCCAGATAATATTGCTTTTGGTACATATGATTCAGGTGTACTTGATGTTAGTACATGTCGACAAGGTGCACCAATATTTATATCATTACCACATTTTCTATATGCGGCTGATCAATATATAAAAAGTGTTTATGGTATTGCACCAGATCCAAATGCTCATCGAACAGTACTTGATGTTGAACCACATACAGGTCTTGTATTAAATGCTCAAAAACGTTTACAAATAAATGTATTCGTTCAACCTGACCCATTAATTGATGATCTTAAACAAATATCACAAGTTATCTTACCAACTATATGGATAAATGAATCCACAACAATTGATCAAAAGTCAGCAAATGATTTAAATAATCAAGTTTTACGTTATTTTACTATTATTCGTTGGGTATCGATTGTATTAATTCCAGTTGGTGTAGTTATATTTATTATAACAATTGCTGTTTTAGCAAAACGACGTTCTCAAAGAAATACATTTACACCGATAAATAATGCAGGATCAACTAATTCAGTGGCATCTGATAATGATTTTTGAAGATTAACTTTTTTTTTTACTTTAATGTTTTCAGTGCCTTTTTGACAAATATCAAATTTTGAAACCATGTGATTTATATACAACTAAAAGTTAATTTTTGAGATAGTTTCATACTTACCGTGCACTCATGTACTGTGTTGAGAAAAGTACCATATTGACGTTATTGTTGTTTAGTGATTTATCAGCTCATCACATTATTACAGTATGAACAGTATAGTAAGTGTGTGTGAGATTTTTTCACTTTCTCAACGCATAACTCGAAGTGCTATATTGTGTCGCGATTAATGTAAAGATTAGATAGTTGTATGATATTCCTTTAAGCATTCTTACAAAACTCTATGTGTCTATACAATCAATAGTTTTTCGATACTCTGATGTGAAGTTCTTTTCGTTCTCAAGCCGTTCCACAAATATGAGTTGCCTGCCAAGAAACACCAGTTATTATTGTGCTTTTTTCTTGAAAAAGAATTTGAAAATTTTTTAAACTAGCATATTAATTTCGTTTCAGTCATTGCACTAGTTGTTTTCATCGAGCGGCTATCTTTAGTAAGAGACTAATCCATTTAATAAAACGTATTCATATTTTGGATTATATTTAGAAAAAAAAAAAGAAATAGATCTTTTCAATGAAACTTAACACGAATAAAGAATAGTAGAATTTCGTAAACTATAAAAAAAATTTCAACTGATGTTGTATTTTAATTTTTTTTTGTGATATGCGTTGTGCCCATAAAACTTTATTATAAGTTTACAATGTAGTCACGATTTAAGATGTACAAGTTTATAGTTATATACCAAAACATGATACGATCCAGCCAGAAGAATTGATCGATTTTTAAACTGAAGACTTAGAGAACGATCCTCTATGTATTTATTTCTGTTCTATTGTCTTTAGAAAACTCTGCAAATAACCTGTCAAGATTTTGGAGAAGATTGTCGAGTAAAACTAGTAGAACTCTGCAAGATGTTGACTCATATTTGTATTTTCAAACTAGGAATTATTGAAATTAGGGCAAGATCATGATCTGAAAACAATGAAGAGCTGCTCATGCTCTTTTTGAGATCTTGTTTCTGATCCTGTCAAAATCTTTTGCATTTCGTGGCTACAAGTTTCTTTTACGATGCACGATGGCGTAAACCATTTTCTACTTTTAAATCTAGTATTAAACTGCTCAGAATGTTGGAATTTTGTGACTGCACATTTTCTTTAGGAGTTCGCCGTTTTCTTAGGAAAAAAAACAATGAATCATTGCAGGATTCTTATTGGACCTGTCAAGAAATTCATGCAGAAAGACTAAAGGCTTCTGGTTCAGGTTACGATAACATAAAGAGAAAGAGAAAGAAAATTTGGACACATCATAAAACGTGTGCTAGGACGATTCGTTGTGAGTGAATGGATGTGAGATGTGGGTATAGATGTCAGGGCAGATTTTTGTGTACCCTTCTCAACTCTCTAATCCATGCACGAACATCAGCACACTTACACCTTAATAGACGATGTATACATATATATTCATAAGAATAGTTCTTTAAGACTCCTCAGTCCCATCGTTCCAAAAGTAGAGTCTACATAGTAATATATAACAATAGATCATTCTCAAGGTTTATAAGACGGTATATCGTGAAAATAGAGGGATGAGGAGTTTGCATTTAAATTGGGTATTAATCACTTACTTAAAACATCCTATAACATGCATAAGAGTGCTGTTGGCTTTTTATTAGTGGGATGTATAATATGTTTGATGCATAGTAAGACCCTCTCCTTAAGTCTTCTATTCCGACAGAGTCTTATTTCGCTAGTCTCCCTGAACCTCATGTTTGGAAAAATCGAGCATCATTTGTTTTCAAAATTCAGTTTTAAATGAACAGTCCCATACACTTGAAATAGAAGTGAAATATGATACAGTGCATGAAATCATGCTGCGATGAATCATTGTTTTCACTCATTCGTTGTCTTGTCAGCCTACAAACAACGACAGATAGATAAGAGGAATGAAGCATTCAAGTGAAACGAAAAGAAAAATAACCAACACGGACGACAGCAATAATCAAAAACTAATAGAAACATCTACAAAAAAACCCCAAAACGCTATATAAATCCAAGTCTTTTTTATTTTTGCTTCTAATTGATAAAACAACGCAGATACCATGAACAACAGGGAAAAATCGACGACAACAATAACTGCTACTACTACGGCTGTTAGCACAACATCTGAACATACTAGAATATGGCCACGACAGCCTTTTTATGCTCGTATAGTTCAAAACTTCCTACTGGTGTGGCTTGATACCAACACTAATGATATCCATAACGACACGTATATGAATATCATCAACAAATTTAAAAAAGTAGTCAATAATATATATCCATTCACTGATTTGAACGCTTGCATTGATTTTATAACTGATATTCAAAAAGAGAAAATATTTATCATCTTTTCTGGTTCTTTCGGACAAACAAGTGTCTCTATCATTCACGACGTTCCACAAGTTAGTAATATTTATATTTGGAGTACGACCTATGCTCAACATAATGGTTGGAGCAAACAATGGCCAAAAATCAGCGGCGTATTCACAGACATTGCTTCGATCATTAAAGCACTTCAACAAGCAGCAGATAAATGTGACCAAAACATGATTCCGATTAGTTTTCTCACAACTAGTAATCAAAGAGGTAACGCAAACCTCGATCAATTGGATTCTTCATTTATGTATAATCAGATAATGAAAGAGATCTTATTAACCACTGATTTTAACCAACACCACATCGGTGAATTTATTACTTACTGCCGTCAATTATTCGCTGCAAATCCAATAGAACTGCAAAATATCGACAAAATCGAACGAGGATATCACCAGCATCATCCGATTTGGTGGTATACCTACCCCTGTTTCTTGTATTCGATGCTCAATCGATCATTACGAATGATGGAGGTCGATCTCATCATAAGAATGGGATTTTTTGTTCGTGATGTCCATAACAACATCACTAAACTTCATGCTCAACAGTGCGTTGAACTTTCATCCTCTAGCTCATTTACTATTTATCGTGGTCAAGGGCTACCAAAAGCTGATTTTGATCAATTGATCAAGACGCAAGGTGGACTTTTATCATTTAATAATTTCTTATCGGCTAGTACGAAGCGTGCAGTATCTCTCAACTTTGTTCGTCGAATTGTCGAAATATCCGATTTCGTTGGTATCGTATTTGCTATGAATATTGATCCATCCATCGAGTCAACATCATTCGCTAACATTAGTGAAGTTAGTTATTTCAAACGAGAAGAAGAGTTTCTCTTCTCTATGCATTCCGTTTTTCGCATTGGACCAATGAAAGAAATTGATAGAAATGATCGTCTTTGGCAAGTTGACTTAACGTTGACTAGTGGCAATGACTCAGAACTGCATGCAATTACTGAACAGATACGCAAAGAGATCTATCCTGAAAAGAAAGGATGGAATCGTTTGGGTAACTTATTCATTCAATTGGAACAGTTCAACAAAGCCCAAGAATTATATGATATGCTGCTTGAACAAAAAATGACTGATCATGAAAAAGCATTAACAAGTCATATGCTCGCCATAGTCAAGTATCGTCAAGGTGAACATGCTGATGCTATTGACTATTATCAAAAATCTATTGAGACTATGAAGAATAGTTTCTCTCCAGTAGACGCCGATTTAGCTGATTCTTACACTGGGATAGGGTTGGTCTATTCCGCAATGGGGGACTATTCGAATGCGCTTTCATCTCATCAAAAAGCACTAGAATTTCGTCAAAATATTCTTCCTTCAACTCATCTTGATTTGGCCGCTTCTTACGATAATATTGGTTCAGTATATGACAGCATAAGTAACTATTCAAATGCACTATCGTTTCATCAAAAAGCACTAGAAATCAAACAGAAAACTCTTCCTTCAAATCATCCCCATTTGACTACTTCTTACAACAAGATTAGTTGGCTGTATTTCAACATGGGTGACTATTCGAATGCGCTTTCATCTCTTCAAAAGGCACTGGAAATCTACCAACAAACTGTTCCTTCAAATGATCCGAGTTTTGCTACTGCTTACAACAAGATTGGCTTGATGTATTCCAACATGGGTGACCATGCGAGTGCGCTTTCATCTCTTAAAAAGGCACTAGAAATTTACCAGCAAACGGTTCCTTCAAATGATCCGAGTTTTGCTACTGCTTATAACAACATTGGTGTGGTTTATGAAAACATGAGTGACTATTCGAATGCACTTTTATATTACCAAAAAGCACTGGAAATCTGGAAAAAATTTCGTCCTTCTGTTCATTCTGATTTAGCTACTTCTTACAACAATATAGGTTCGGTGTATTCCAATATGGGTGACTATTCCAGTGCACTTTCATTTCTTCAAAAAGCACTGGAAATCTATCAACAAATTCTTCCTTCAAATCATCCTAATTTGGCTACTGCTTATAACAACGTTGGTTCGGTGTGTTCCAATATGGGTGACTATTCGAATGCACTCGCATCTCTTCAAAAAGCACTAGAAATCTGGCAAAAAACTTGTCCTCCAAATCATCCTCATTTGGCTGAATCTTACAACAACATTGGTTCGATGTATTTTAATATGGATAACTATTCGAATGCACTGTCATTTTTTGAACATGCTGTTGAAATTGGGCAGCGTTCACTATCTGAGAATCACCCTCGTCTTCAACTATGGAAGAAGAACTTCGAATATGTAAAGAAAGAAATGTAATTGTTTTTTGTTTTTTTCGAAGAAGTAGATGTAGTGATGAGAAAAGAGTATTTTCTTCTGTTTTGTTTTGAAGAGAAACGTGCACATGCACCAACAAAGACACTGTCTTATTGAGAACGTAATCCGTTAATGCTCACCGATAAGGTAGCCTGCATATGTCGAAATGATGTATAGATATTGTAAATAAAAAAGTTTTACAATATTGTCTATTTTCCAACGATAAGGAGACTTTCTGTGTCGAATATAGACCTATCCGACAGGCTGATATAAAGAATAAAGAAGAAAATTAAAATTCTTTGATTCTTTGATTCTTGCAATGAATTGTTCTTTCTATTACAATTTAGCAATAGTTCATTGGATGTGGATGTACCTGATGAAAAGACTAATACTGCACACTCACACTCTAGGCTACAATCTAAATCAGATGAAGAACTTTAATAGCAAATATAAATCTGAATCTTTTTATATGATATGGTATGTTCGGGATTTTTTTTAAATAGTCTAATCAAATTGTGTAGCATATCTTGAATTACTGCAGAACTTCTATTGCACAATCGACTTAAAATAATTAATAACTTGAGTTCTGTATTTTGAAAGCCAGAAAATTTTAAATAGTAATATCTACATTATCTAATAAGGAACTAATAATTTTTTGTGTGTTTATTACGAAATGTTTCAAGTAGATTGTTCAATCAATGATGGCTTATTAAGATATATATATATATATGAGGTTCATTTTTGTATGACTTTTTTTATTGTTTTCAAAGACCTTATTCTTCTTGAATTCGTGATTTTTCTTGGTAAGCTATATCATTATGGACATCCTATTTGATTACATCAAGTATGCTTAAAAAAAGTAGCAACATGGCACATAATAAATGACGATAATAGAAGCCAACGATGTGGAAATATTCTGTCTCATCAGCAAGGATGTTATAGTATATTCACAATGTGAAGTTAAGGTTAGGTACGACGAGGATAAAGAAATTACCCACACCAACACCCTTTTATCATCATAAACACTCAATTTTCGTTGTTTTTCTGTTTAATTGTTTATTTTCATCGCTCATTACAATTTGAAAAGAAAATCATTCAATTTATCAATATTTAGTTGAAAACTTGATGATAAACATCAAGGTGTGTAAATGAAATATGCTTTATACATGAATAAAATACAAAAACAATCACTTATTCGAGATACAAAGATATATGGGAATAAAAGACAACGGTATAGATATGACTTTCGAAGATTTCATAATCGAAATAAAAAAAAATATCATTCATCGATAGTCCATTCACTTGAGTTTAGACTAATGGAATAGAGATGCATAAACAGTTACATGTAAATATTCGCGTAGATTAAGGAAAGTAATACACATATAAAAATAAGAACCCAGCTACTGTAGAGCGAGCAACGGAAAAAAAATAATAGTTTGAAGATTTGATATGATACATAACATAAGCTAAGATAAAATAATATCTGATCTATGACAAGAAGATACTTCATAATAAATAACCATCCTGGTTAAAGAATACTATCTGTATACGACTGTTTACGATGAAATGCGACACGTCAACGGGGCCGTATTTCTCCGAGAATACTGGGAGAGCAATATAGTCGTATGTATGATAGAATATGGCAATATTACAATATCTTTACGACGTTTTAGGCAAGGATACGATATTATATGTAACCAATAATACTAAGTGTACTGCAATAAAAAATATGGCAAAAGAAAAGCACCGGCTTATAGCGATTCGTAATAATTTACTTGGACAGATTTGAAAATAAATTTCTTAATTTATCTCCAATAATTTCAGAGGTCTTTTCAATACATTTCGAGAGAAAAGAAAACACTACAAGGAATCAATTCTTTATCGAGAAATTTCATTTAACATACACAATAGTCTAATAAATCAAATCATTCATAAATATAAATTTGACATAAATCAGTGTTCTTTAATTCATATATTCTTTCATGAAACAAAACAAAACAAATTACAACAACATTCTTATATTTGAACACTGTATTTCATTTGTACAAGCGAATAAGACGAAAAAAGAAAAAGAAAAAAAAAAGAGAATTTTTTGTTCACAATAATAATAAAAAAAAAGCGAAAAAGAAAAAAATTCAGATATTTAGCTGTTGCATATGTTTTCGTTTAAAGCTCAATTAATGCCGCTGATGTATGCTCAGAGAGTTGAAAACAAAATATTTGACTAGATGCAGAAAAAAAAAAGAAGAACAAAAGAAGGAGCCAAGATATTCAAATAAACGAACAACAAAAATAGAGCACCAACATCATACAAACACACACACATATATATCCTCATTATATTATTTAATATACAACATGATCCTACGTCTATATCATGAACATTCTCTTGAAAGTTTTTGCAAAATTGAGATTCATCGACGGATCGATTATTGAGTAGTAGAATATTCACCTTATACATCATCGCCGTGCTGGAAAAAACCCAAGAAAAAGTTCATTTTAGGAAAAAACAAAAGAGAACAGAAAAAGCATCAATTATCGAAAGCATTACGAAACAATATTTAAGCACACATAATTATATTCTGACTTTATACCGCTACTTCAGTGTCAAATGGCTGAGCTTTAGTTGTTTTCAGTTTTTTTGGCTAAATAAAATTTATTTATTTATTCTTTTCGTTTATTATTGTTATTATTTTTGTTTCCTAAATACCTTTTTTGATGAATGACCATTCGTATATTCATGTTGATCAGATATATTTTCACCATTATTTCCATTCATCATAGGTGTTGTTTGATGATCCCTATGGAAAAAATAATAATAATTAAGTTACATTCGTTTCAAATACAGTTGTATAAATGGTCAGCTCATTGGCGAGCAAAGCAAAGGGAAAATATTAACACACATACAGTCAGACTTTTACCATAAATAAATGACTTATTATGTTGAAGAGCTAGAGAAAAATTGAAGTTATTTATTAACCCGTTGATTTCATTTTTTTTTTCTTTTCACCAACAAATATAACATGCAATTAACATACATCACATATTATGTCAAAATAGATAACAAAACCTACTTTTTTATTTTTTTTGTAATACTATATATAAAACATTAGTTGTTTTAATGTATTTTTTTATCTTTCAAAGAATATATCAAAATTTCAAATAACTTACGAATCAGTTGTTTTATGTTTTCCACCAAGTCGATAAACACGTAATGCAACACAAAGACCAACAAATGCAACGGCAAAGAAGATAATACCAAATATGATACCAAGAATAACCCATTTACTTGGTTGATTTTTTCTATAATCTTTTATTAATGGACGTGTGGTACCTGCCTTACGATCTAAAAGAATAGATGACAAATTAAAGTTTTATTTAAGAAGAAAAACAAAACTTCTTATTACCTCTTTCATTTAATGTTGTTATTCGAAGTTTTTGTTCAGCAGCACCTGCTTCATTATATAATTTAACAATAACTATATAATTAGTTGATGGTTTTAATTCCGTTAATTCATATTCAGATACCGATGAATCAATTGATATTGGTGTACTAAATGATCCTTCGGGTTCCAAACTATTGTCACTTTTAGCCTAAAAGAGAAATGACTTAAGATAATTTCATTTTGCTTTTTTTTTATTATTATTTACTTTAGCATATAAAACTTCCGTTCGAATAATAGGTGCACCACCATCAGATTCAATAATCCATTTAATTAAACAAGTTCGATCATTTGAACATGTGTCATTTTTATTTTCATCAGTTTTAACAATTTTAAAATCTGGTAGTTGTCTATCAAGTGTTCGAAATGGTATTGGTCCTGTTAATTGACCCATACCAGCACGAGATTTAGCAACAATTGTAAAACGATATTTAGTACTTGGCTTAAGTTTTTCAATTTTTAATACTTGGGATTGGTCTTGTTGATCATCAGATGATGTTTGAACTAAAAGAAAAATAAACGAAACATTTTCTTATTCAAACAACATTTTATTCAAATTCTCTCACAGACTTGTTTTAACTCAGCAAAAATTAAAAGATCTATCTGTCGTATCTAGACATATGCACAAATCATCTTGTCCATATCTAGTAAAGTATCTTTCTAGTAGAGTAGCACCTGTATTTTTCAAAGTCATTCTCACAGTAATTAATCTATAATGGCAAAAATGACAATTATGCTTCTATCGATGCATGTGTTTGTTCGTACGGAAGAGAAAATTTTTATGTAACACACTTTTTATTCCGTAAATCATTTTCTATTTCATGAACAAACATCTATTTTTCAATTTTGCCATCTATAGATCAATAAACAGCTTTTGTTTACAGTCCCATGCAAATCATTTATAAAAAAAAAAAAAAAAAAAAAAAAAAAAAAAAATAAATACCTGGAATAGTTAATGTTTCTTGTTGATCTTCTGTTTTATCAACTAAACCATACTTAATAATATATTCCATAAGTGGTAAACCTCCAGTTTCTGGTGGTTGAACAATAATTTCTGCTCCATTTGTTAAAGGTTTTATTTCCACAACACGAACGTTTTTTGGTGGTTCAGCACGTTGAAGTGTATATGAATGTCGACCAACACGTGGATTAATTGCACGACATTCAAAACTTAAACCAAAATCGCGTTCTGATGGTGTATACTAAATAAAATATTCTTTTAATTGAAACAAAAAAGAAAACATTCGATTTAAAATATTTACTGAAAGAACACTTTCAAAAAGTGTTGGACCAAGTTGTTTAGTTGTTATATCATTAACACCATTATCAACATCAACATCAAGTACTCGCCCTTCAGGATCTTGTACAGTTCGAGTCATTTTAATCCATTGTATTTGTGGTGGTGGATGAGATTCAAATTGACAACGCATAACTACTCGATAATTTGGTATTGTTGAAACAACTTGAATATTTGGTCCAACAAAAACAGGTTGAACTAAAACAAATAATTAAAACTAATGCTAATAGAATTTATTTTACTTACATCGAATATAAAGACTAGCAAGTGAATAGGAACTATCAGCAAGATTTTTAGCTACACATGAATAATTTCCAAAATGTTCTCGACGTACAGGTTCAAAACGTAATTCAATTAATTTATCAATTTCTAAACGTGTTTTATCAATATAAATTCCATTTGTTGCTTGTATTGCTGTATTATTTAAATATTGCCATTCTAATGAAAGACTTTCTGATGAACCACGATCAATACGACAAGTAAATGAAACACGTTGAGGATGTTGTTCATCAAGATTTATTTCAATAGGATCTATTGTTAATAGACGTGGCGGAACTAAACAATACATAAATAATCAATTTTTATATAGAATAAATTATATATAATCAAATTAGACTAGACAAATTTCTATCAATTTAACTTTTTTTAGATTTAATTCTATGAGATTGATATGATGCCTAGCAGCTATACGAACGGTTTAAGTTTTTTCGAAATTTAAATAAAACTGAGATCGTTTCGAAAAGCTGCAAAGCGAACCGATTCCATGTGTGTTGCATAGACTCAAACATTCTTCATCCATTCCACTAGTAATTATTATATAGATAGAATCTTTCGATTTCTAAATTTTACTCATAATTATCTCGTCTAATATTTGTTTATTGTTTTGAATACTTACCAATAACATTTAAATTATATTCAGCACGTTGACCTCTTTGGTCAAATTCATTATAAGCTTGACATGAATATTTTCCATTATCAGTTTCATCGACATAATTAATTGTTAATTGATTACCTCGTACAACAAATTTTGGTACTTCACTTGCACCAACAGGTGAATCCTAAATTTTTATATGAAATGAAAAAAAATTTTTTTTTCTTTCATTTCATAAATAATAAAACAGTAAGGAAATGTCTACAGTCATACACACTGGGGGCGGGATAAAAACACACACGCGTGCAATGAAACAATCAGAGAATACACACAAAATATCTAAAGCAAGGATCATGCTGATAGTATAACCTTTTGTTTTGGTTGATTGATTTATGTCCGCCCCCTTTCTCTTCTTTTTTTTTTCTTTGTTTTATTTATTCATCACTCACACGCTGTTTTCCTTCTGTTCCAAATATGTCCGAAACAAACTGATACATAACCATAGTCAGATTCACTGGAATCGACTTTATTTTGTCTTCCTGAATATATACATATGTCAGATTAAAAACAAATATTTGTTTTTCATTTTAAAGTATTATTTTGTAAAATGAAAAAAACAACATATTTTTTTCTAAATATTAAATCACACAGAGAATTCTATTTTTGTTTTTACCGGGACTGATAAAACATTGATCTTAATAAAAAAAAAATAAAGGGGATAGGATTAAAAACAAAAAAATAAAATAAAATGAAAATAATAACTTATAAATTTACTACAAAAATAATAATAATAGTAATAATGAAAGAAACAGACATGCATACATCACGATCACTCGATAAAAAAAAGCAATAACTATCATGCTGAATAAATTTCTCTTCATTTTTGTCTATAATCTTACTTTTACAGGTCTTAACTCGGCTGCCTATAGATGGAGTATGATGTTTTTATTTTTAGTATTTTTTTAGCCAATAAAAAATAACAAATTTAAATAAATAACATACCGAACCATAATACCAAGAATACTTCGGTGGTGGTAAACCTGTAGCTTCACAAACAAGTGTTGCAGTTTTTTTTTCAATAGCACATGGATTAGCACATGTTATGCGTGGTTGTGTAACAGATTCTAAACAAAATATTCAAGATAGAAATTTTCATTTCATTTAATATTTAGAAAAGAACTCTACTTGAAATAATAACAGTTATTGGAAAATCTCGTGTTTCGCCTGTTTCAAGAACATCAGCTCGACAACAAAATGTATCATTATCATGCATATCTACTCGATTTATACGTAAACCTTCTTTAACACGTGTATACTGTGGACTATCTAAATAAGAATAAATAAAATCCATAAAATGAAAAGTGAAAACACTTTATAAAACAAACCAATGCGTGATTTTTCTGGTCCTTTAAACCAAGATACTTCAGCTGCTGGATTAGCTTGAACATGACATTTAATAACAACTGATTCTCCAAGTGCAGCATATTGAACAGAATCACCATAAAATGTAATTGGAACTTAAAAAAACAAAAAAGAAAACAGAACAGTTGTCTTCTTTTTGTATATATATTAAAAATATTCAACAAACTTTTTATTATTAATTGAAATGATTTTCGAGTTTGTTGACCAGCCGCATTAACACCAATACATTCCCATGTACCTATTGGAAAATACTATAAAAAGATAGATTATATTTAGTACAAACCTTGATCATCTGCAGTTAAATTTCGAACTCTCAAACGAATTTCATTTTCTTGTCGTTCAATTGTAACACTACAAAAAAAAATTGTTTTTTGAATTCTTTTAATAAGAAATTTTATTTTATTGTTATCGTTACCGATCATGTTCATTTTCAGGTACATCTCCATGTTGTGGTGATCGCCATCCAATAACCCGAGTATTTGCTTGACCACTGCATGATGCAACAAATGATTTATATTGATCTCTTGTTAATGATGTTCCACTTGGTTTCAAAACCAAATCACCATGTACTTGTAATAGGACTATTTAATGCAAAAGAAAAAAAAATAAAAGTCTTTAATCTAGCATTACTAACTTTTCTATTGTTCTCTGAAGAAAAATGAATAAAAAAAAAACGAGGCCAATCTTATGGCTGAAAGGTCAAAAAAAAAAGTGTATAAAGTTGTAGTCTAATTGCAAAATGATAGAACTGCCATCAGGTGTCGTCATATTTCATGATACTAATGAGGATTCATCAATCTGACTATTATTATTTCAACTGTGGCCATATGTCCATAAGTCAACATTAAAGAGTTTGCCTATGATTTATGATTAAATATATGAAAGTACATATAAACTTACATAGAACTACAACCAATATGGAAAACATCGTATTCTAATGATTGTCTATATTAGTCTGTTAGTCGTTAGATCAATGAATGATGCATAAAAAAACAAAACAAAAATATCTAAAATAAAAAAAAATTAAGTAAACAATAAAAAAACACATCAGTCAAGATATGATGTAACACTTTTTAAAGAAGAAAAGAAAAATCTCATACCCATGTTGCATGCATCGTTGCATGTAAATTATCTTACCGTCTATGATCGGCATTGCAGTCTTTCTTTTTTTTTTCTTCATAGTATGTGATTTGTATGCTTGATTGCGTGAGTAGAAGTCATACTATTATCAAGAGACTACTACTTTTTTAGACTTCACTATTAAACACAAGATCTTTATCCGATCAATGTGTATGTGCATGCGCGCAATATGCATGTGTATGTATAGAGAATGGGGGAAAAGAGAAGAAAATGACAACCTTTTCGCCTTCACACGCTGTGCGAACACAGCATAGCGCGCTCGATAAGTGAGTATCTATGAGTAATTGTGGGTTGCAAGAAGAAGGAAAGGAAAAAAAGAAAATGAGAAAAAGAAAAAGAAAAAGAAAAAGAACGACAAGACGAATGGCCCAGTTTTTTTTTTCTTTTTATAGATTCTTTCTTTTTTTTTCTGTTTTTGTTCGTTTGCAGCTATTCGTACGTCAATGCAACATGCCTGCATCGTGTTCTTTGCATTTTGTCATACTGTGATATGTTGCGCAAACTGTCTATATATTATGGAATGTGATTATGTCAAACACACAAAAAAAAGTATATGAAAAAGAAAGAAAGATATTAAGAATCGATAAATATGTCATTTGTATTGAAAAAGACAAATTTATTTTTCTATAGAATTTCTTAATCGATAATAATGAAAAAGAAATTATTACTAATCTATAGACAATTTCTCCCGGTTGTATAAATATATATATATATGCATGAAAAGTTATATTAACAATAGATGGAAAATTCGATCTACTAGAGATAATCATGTAAACGATGATGAGTTGTGTAAGTCTAATAGAATTTAGAAATAAACATAGGCAGTTGTCTGTGACTGATAGACAGGAGCATATATACATATCGCATTTTTTTTTACTGCTCAGCACGGATTAGGTCAACTACACATGCACTTACTATTCGGTGTTCATTAACTTTTAGCCGTACTGTGCATAATTAAAGAGAGTGTGAGAATAAGAAAAGAGAAAAAACTATGTGATGGTGGACAACAAAAACATTGACGACCGGAAATGCGTCGATGATCTTCTACCTATATACTTTGACTAGCGCGACATATGTCCAATGGTGAATACATTGAACAATGGTTAGATCGCGTGTATGCATGTGTGCATTCTGAACATGTGTGCAATGGAGATCATCGAAGCAATGAAGAAAGAAAGTCTTCTTTTCTTTCAATGTGTACCTTTGTATACGAATGTGGACGAATAATGAATTATTGATCAAATCATACGATGGACGAAACGAACGGACTATATGTATGTCCACATCATCTTCATCAGAGAGATTAGCGTCTGTGTGTGTATGTGTGTGTATAGGCACAAAAAAAACGAAAGAGAGCTCTCTTCTTCGTATAGTATTTGCTCACGCAGAGGAGAATCGACATGCTCTTGTGTATGAATACATGTATACTCTTCTCTCTTCACCATCATCATGCTAATCGCTGTAGGTATACAAAAAAATAAAAAAAAGAGAAAAAAAAATAAAAAAAAGAGAAAAAAAAATAAAAAAACTATTGTGAATTCACCTTGACAACAAGTGAAAGCAATGCATATAAAATTCCTCCTCTTTGTTTTTTGCCATTGAATGAAGGTGAATAGACAATATATACAAATATAAAGAGAGTTGTGCATGTATATTTTTTTTTCAACTCATACCGACATAAGAAGAAAGAATTGAAATAAGATTATCGGACAGGTGTATATGAAGTTTTTGCTAATCAGTTGAGATAAACATGATATAATCATTTTTCTTTTTTCGTCACTTATCAGTGTAAGTATGCCGCATGTCTGTATGTCTGTCCGAAAAAACTAAATATACAATAAATTATTAAAATTATTCTTCTATGTCTTCTCCGTCTTTTTCTCTCTTTTTTCCGGCACACACGCGTAGTTTGTTCGGCCAATGGCTACAATTAGCTATTTTTACCAACGTTTGATCCTAGCTTGAAGGCAAATAGTAGCGATGATCTCTATTCGTTTCGACTCTATGTCGAGTGGTTAGACCACTCGACGACGGAAGTTGTTCGCTTGAGCTCGTTATCATGAATGCAAAATCATTATCGACATCGTTGTCGTTTGTCTGTAATGATCAAATGTAACATGTGTACTACTCGGATATGCAAAAAATGTCTGTGATTTTTATTACATATATACATATATATATTTGGTTCAATGTTTAATCATCAATACAGTAGTGCATAGATGTTTATACATTGTCCATCAACTGCGAACACATTAACCTACTCGAAAACTCATACAATATGATAGATCTTAGATCTGTGTTGCTATTTGATCTCTCAAGAGAATGTTTGTCAAAGTGGAAAAAAAAGCTGACATAGGTTATTAGACAGATGGATGAACGAGGGGTGAAATAGCTAAAGGTGTATACATGAACATGAACAGTGATACTTATATAGAATGAATAATGATGACTGACTCTAAGCTTCATTTTGTATTGCGGGCAAGAGGATTATAGTTTGAAAGCGGACACTTTTCTTTCTTATTCTATCCATTAATTAAGAATGATGAGATGTGTGATCGGTTATGTAGTATATATATATATATAACCACATATATACTTGACTAGAAATATGTTAATACATAGTTTCGGTTTAATATATGGAATAAATAGAATGATTAAATAGAGCAAACATATATATACATGTATATATATGAACAACTTTCTAATTTGACACGCGACATGCCGCCAAACGTAAATTAACCGCCTACTCAATATATCCGCTTGTTACTTACCTGAATTCTTTGACTGTCGGACATCATTTGTCCGTAACAACAAGAAAGAATAATCTTCTTCTTCTCTTTTTTCTTATCGTTAAATATATTTGTAATGTTATTCTAATGCATTACTTACCCGTCTTTCAATCTCGGCTACAAAGAATATAATGATTGACAATTTTTAACGAGAGAAAAGGTCACATAGCAAGTGTATGAATGTATGGTTTCAAATGAATACGTTCTAGACAGAATCATTAATCAATAGACAGATGATTAGTTGAAAACCGGATGTTCGTGCAACAAGAATCGGTTGAATTCTTCTACAGTATGAAAATTAAATTAAGACAAAAAGAAAAATTTATGAAAGTGATATAAGAAAGGCTTGATTGATGTCATTCATTCTTATGTCTATATGTAGAATACAAACTCATGTCTTCGTTTTTCTTTTCTTTTATCATTGAAGAATAGCAATTATATGATGGTGTAAATCTCAAAAGACTCTCTCTTGAATTGTACATAGTGTTAATCCAATGAATGATCATACCATCAATACCCCCAGATGGCTAGTAACAGTAACCACAACGAAATAATATTTGCATAACGTGATCGACTTGTCGTCTGGTGCCACTCATTGAATTTCTCATCTATTTTTTTTTGTCTAGCTTTCTCTCTCTGTTTCAACACTGTTAATGTTTGCCTAGTTTAAATATTTTTTTTTTGCTCTCTTTACACACCTTTTGTCTTCATCTCGAACAGACAGACATAATCAAGATGCTTTTTAATATAGTGAAATTTATTGAGAGAATACTATTTCAATAATGATGAGATGATGAACTTCTGACTTCTTGGAAGAGAAAAAAAAGAAGAAGAAAAAAGATATATGATTGATGACAATGCAAGATGGCTGGCATCAAACAATAAATGATTGTATGCATGAACATAGAGAAAAAAAGCAATAGAAGGATATTATGTTTATTCTTCTAAATAATATATATCGACTATAGTATGACTAACAAAAACGATGTTTCATTTATAATATATTGTTGTTATTTCCTGAAGACATTTTGTTTTCTTCATCTCGACTAAACCATTACAAGAGAAAGAGCACATCCGTATTCTGTTTTTGATATTGGATACGTATGTATATATACAACTATATGTAAACGGAAACGAGAGTCGAAACATGTGCAGAGTGTTTTATGTTCAGCCAACCAGTAGCTTTTTTTGATAATATGAATTAATCGATATTAATCTGGCAGTCGCTCTCATCATAATCATTTAGATCGTCACGAACGAATTCATAGCCGCAGGTGCTAAAAAAGGACATAATGAAAAGAAGTAGGAGGAGGGCGTCATCATCAGTTGATCAATGCCTATATACATACTTGAGTTTGAACAACCAACCGATGGTCACTATTCTCAAATCACATACATTAAATTATCTTCAGGCAAGAAAAAAAAGTATACTCGTTAAACTCTAAATGAGAAAATTGATACTTTTTTTCGGTAGTTAAGATTAATTTACTCATTTATCATCATCAATGTTGAGTTCAATAAAGTAATTTCTATTGTTTTTTCTATTATGATATTTGCATATTTATTTTCAAGAAAAACATCTGATTGATAAGAATATTATCTTGATCTGCATATAAACATGATCGATGATATCATTTTTATCTGTTTGTCAACATATATACATATATATCGGTTTGCTACTGATGCTTTAAACTACTATAGTTAAAGGTCAACATTATCTTGATCACCAGTAATCGTTCAATACATGATCAATACTATTTATAAAGAAAAGAAAAAAAATTTTTTTTGAACAATAGAGAAAACTATGCATCGATTAACAAACTGATAAATTGCATCGTTATTCAATAGTAAATCTTTTTCTTTTGCTTACTGGATGAATTAATCGTCATCAAATAATGTATTTAATCGAAAAGATAACAAACATCGTAAAGAAGATAATTTCAGTATTATATCTTAATCTCATTGGATCAATGTTATCTTATTAAAGCGCTAAACTAAATATTACATAAAAATATGATTGTTAAAGATTCATTTCGTTTTTTAGATCATGATTTTATTTTCTATTCGATTTATTTTTATCCATTGTATTTTCTTTTGTTTTGTTGTTTATAATTTTTCATCTAAAACAGATAAATATGGGATTATCTTGTTTGCTAAATTAATGGATTTAAAATAGAATTATTAATGTTAGTAGATAGGCTATCGTAAAAATTTTCAACACTATATCATGATGTTTGAAGGAGATATTCAACTAACAAGGGTCAAAAATAACTCATTTTGCAACCTAAAAACCTCGATAGGTCTTTATTCTATATGCTTAATTCTTTTTATTTGAAAGAGTATGTCAGAATAGAGGGCATCACGGAATTCTTTTTATTTTTTAAATATAAAAACTTCAATATCTCAAAATGGCATTCTAATTATAAGAGTATTCTTTTATGAAATAGTAACAAAGTTTTATTTCAAAATACAGGCTCGGTCATGCTATGCATCTTGACATGATCTCTCAAGCAACAAAAGACATAGAAGCCATTGACTATAACACAGCTAAGAGTTCTAGGATGTACGTTCAAGAAAAAAAATATAAATAGTGAAGAAATGAAAAAGATTTTTCACTTCGAACGAAACTTTTGGAAAAAAGGGTTGCCAAATAAAGAAATCGTGCGACCTACGAAATATCAGACCTCGGACTATGTTTCCATACATTTATCTCAATTTTCGTGGTTTTTAATAAAAATTGACTATTTTAACGGAGGCCTAAAAGAAAAATAAGTCTTTTCAAAGGTACATCGGAATATTGTATATAGATAACAATAGAAATTCCTTGTTTTTTCATAATATCAGCGAAAGCAGAAACGCAATAGATATAATAATTTATTTTGTAGCAATTCAAGAAAAGTAATAATATATACTCAAAATCGTGATAAAACATTACTTTCTTCTTTTTTTTAAAATCTATTTATATATTATCTCTAGTGCACTGTCAAAAGCTTGTTAGCGCAGCCCCTTTGAGGCTGAAATATGGAACACACATATCTTCTTTGTTTTCATGATACTAATCACAAAATACCCAATATTTAAATTCTCCAAAAGATAATAGTTCTTTTCTACTGATAATCCATTATCAAAAAATGCTGTCTTTTTTACCTCGATATTTCGAAAAGAAATTTTTTCTTTTTTTTGGCGAAGTTGCTACGGTCTGCAATGGGGGCCTACGTTGCTATGGTCTGTAATGAGTGCCTGTCTGTAAGGGGAGGGGAGAGGGAGCAGCGAAATCTTGACCTTAAAACTAATACTCACTATTTTCTTCGAAAATATATGTGTTTCACAAAGTAAAAACATAGACAAATGAACCGTACGAGAAGACTTTATCAGCCTCATAAACTTCTCATCAAATTTTCATATATCCTACAAGAGTTTATTGTCTTTTTTTCTAAAACTCTTCAAAGATTTATTAACGTCATAACTGTACAAGGACGTATGAAAGTTTTATGAAGTTAATAAACCATTCTCTATGGTTTATTATTCCACTTTTTTTTCTATACATAGTTTATGCTTGTATTTTCACCGGTAATTGGCTATTTTTTCTTCGTCGCATTGTTTTATTCGATGAATGTATACCATTTATACATTTACGTATAATAAAACTAGAAATAGTTGATGAAATATGAAGTGAAATTCTAATTACTAAACGAATATTTTTTGACTATGAGATAATGAAAAGTCCAGTGGAAATTCCCTATTATATATTGATGGGACATTTTTCAGTAATAATCCCATGAAATTGAGCTTTTCTAATTGATTCATTCTTTCCTTATGATGAATTGCATAATTCTATCCCATACGGAGTTTAGTGGTAAATATCTATTATACAATATATGATAACAATTATCAATCGAATGTTTATAATTCAAAAATAAAACATTGAAATATGAATAATAATTCAATAAAAACATTTGTTTTGAAGTTTTCGATTGATAATTTCATTTAGAAGAAATAATATTTATCACAAATAAATGTTCTTAATTAATAATGATTTTATTTCCGATTGAAGCTTTAGGATCACATTTCATTCGAACTTCTTCTTTATCATAAGAGATACTTCCTTGCTTGATTTTAATTTTGAGTAATTTGATTATAAAAAAAAAAAGAAAGATTCGTTGGAAAGTCGTGACTTTTAGTATTGTATGTATACGTCATATAACCAAAATATCATTACTGGTAATGATCATAGGTAATTGCTTGATCATCTGTTATGTCTTCATTTTATCATATAAATTTTTTCTAGTTGCGTGTGTCCATTCGAAGGAAGATCGTGTTTAACTATTGACGAATGGGAAAAAACCCTGTTCTTTCAGGTTTTTTTTTTCTTCCTGTGCGTCAGTATGAAATTTCCATTTTTCTATTTTGAAATGTACTAGTTCTTTGAAAATAGAGACATAGGTGGTATTTTTTCTTTTGGGTTTATTCCTTTATGACAGAAAAGTTTGGTATAAATATCAATAAAAGGCGTTTAGATCTTTCATTTAATTAATAATCGTACACATAAAATAGCAAACAATTAGAGATGACTCATACCACAGATGAAACATATGTTGCACATGCAAGTTATGATGCTTGTCCAACCACACAACCAATTTACATGAGACAACATTCATCCAAACGACACATTGCTGACACTGATAAACAGGTATATATCTACCCTAATATTTATCATTAAGATTGGAACAGAAACAATTCTAGCAAGAGGGCAGTAGATGCCGGTATAAAATTAAATAAATATGATATAATCGGAGTCATTTCTATTTTGAGTCGATGACAGATGAGAATATGAGAAGTCCTTAAAAAAGCTTGTTAGCGCAGTCCCTTTGGGGCTGAAATATGGAACTCACGTATATACTTCAGCTTCAGTATACTAATATGCAATATAGATAGTATAAAATCATGAATTTTTAATTTTCTGACAGGCGCCCTTATTTTTCGTCTTCTTTGTTGCTATTCGCTCAGTATTTTTCGTTTTCAACGCTGCTTTTTTCTTTACTTTTACATTTTTATTATAAGAAGCATTGAATTATATGGCGAATGAAGCTATTATATATACATGTATATCCATTATTTGAAACCTGGTCGCTAAGGTCTGTAATGGAGTCGTACGTTGCTATGGTCTGTGATGGGGGGGAGGAGGGGGGGAGCTGCGAAACCTTGACCTTAAAACACACTCACTATTTTCTTCGAAAATATACGTGAGTTCCACAAAATAATCTGTACGAGAATCTCTTACAGATGAAACATATTAAATCAATTTAATTATAAGTTTTTCTATCAAATTTAATGAAGACTTTCTGTTACATTGGCTTAGATAAGATATACATACGACAGACTCGATGTGCTAGTTAATCTTACAGAGAAAAATGTAGTTTTCGAAAACAATAGCACAAAAGATTTCGTCTAAGTAATCAAACAGTCTTGAAAAAAAAACATATTTTACTTAAAATTTAATTCATTTCTGTTCTCTTTTTAGAATCATGTCAGCGAGATTTCAAAGAAACGTGGACGTAACGCTAACGATGATTTTATAAGATGTCCCATTGCTCAATTTGGCTGTCTCAATGAAATACTTTATGATGATTTACAAGAACATTATTCAACCAAAGTTCATCAAGAATGTCTCTTAAAAGCTATTGAATATTATGTACGACAATTACATAGTGAACCTCAAAATAATCCTACCTTATCAAACAATGAAGAAAATTATTCTGAAATAATAGATTCTGTAGATATGCTTGCTGAAGGACTCTCATCATTGAACGATGCTAATGTTCAAATTCACCAAAATGTCATTCAACTTCATAATAATATTTTAGAACAACAAAACCAAATAGAACAATTGAAAAATTCTGTTGAAGAAAGTTCTCAATTTATGCATGCTAATCAAATAAATACAAATATTTTACAAGCTGAAATTGAAAGTCTAAGACAAATGATGATGGATTTGTCAAGTCAATCATCCAATGATGGGACTTTTATTTGGAAAATTACGGATGTTGCGCAAAAGATCAATGATTCTATTTCGGAACGACAAACGAGTATTTATTCTCCACCATTTTATTCATCACCAACTGGTTATAAAATGTGTATGAGATTGTATTTTAATGGTGATGGTCAAGCACGACGAACACATCTTTCACTCTTTTTTGTACTTATGCGAGGAGATTATGATGCTATATTAACATGGCCATTTTCTTATAAAATTACATTTTGCCTTTATGATCAAACAAATAATCAGAATCATATTATTGATTCATTTCGACCAGATATTAAATCAAATAGTTTTCAACGACCAAAATCAAATATGAATATTGCATCAGGCCTACCTAAGTTTTGTCCTTTACCAGTTATTCAACAAGAAAATAATCCATATGTACGTGATGATTGTATGTTCATTCGATGTATTGTTGATTTTGGATCAACACCTAAAACCATGATACCGTATATCTGTAATCTCAATATGGGTTTACCAAAAACAATTCAACAAACAATGATTCAAACAGAAACTGAATGTCGCAACTTGGTAACATCAACATTATCAAATCCAGAGAAAGGTTCTACAAACAGAGATAGTCTGAATTAATCTTAGTTAACAGTAATTTATGATTGAAGATAAAAGTCAGAGGATTTTACTTTTTTTTAATAATAAATTTCATCATTCTTTTGAAAGAAAAAAAAAAGAATTTGGTTATGCTTCAGATTGAGGATTATATTCATGAAGAAATCATCTAAAATAAAAGGTTTTACTTAGAAAATGATAATAAGCAGTTTATTTGAATAGATAATTTATTGCCAATGATCTATTTATTTAAGTATAAATAATACAAGGGTTTATAAGATGTTGACTTTGCCCACAAAGTATTTTAGGCTACTTTATTAGTGATTCTGTGCAGAAAAATATGGTGATTCATTTAGTAATAAATTTATGCAAAATCATTAGCATTGAACATTACTTTTGGAGTCAAATACCCATAAAAGTCATTGTATCTTCGTTGTGCCCCTATTCGATTAGTATTAGCCCGAAATACATACCTTTTAAGCAATTTTCCAAGCTTGTTCTGTATCGGTTGGAAATAGCATTCAATTCTGTCTCGTTTCATATACGAACCACTGTTACCTCATGCCAAAAGTGAGTCGTAAGAAATACCAGTCTTTCACTAGGCTATGATTCATTATCTAACAACTGGGCAATAATTAGAAGCATTTGGAATATTTTTCATGTAAGCCACATTCTCTTCTATAACATTCGATGCATCAAATCAAGCTCTACAAAATTATGTATAATTCATTTGATTTCGACTTGGACCAAGTTATCTAAAGTGCTCACATTATGCTCAGTGTACCAAAAGGAGCAGACCTCATCAGACTTATCTGATCTTTGACTAAAATCAATGGTCTACTTGAAATCAGAGTGCAAATCTCAATCGATTTATATACTTTTAAAAATTTTCTGCATACTTTTAGGATGTGGATATAGGTGTGTGATGTGGTTGCAAGGATAGAAGTGGAGTGGAAATGAAGCGGCTATAGTCATTAGTGAGGAGAACGATTTCACTCACAACCAGCCCAACGCCCCCAAATAAATCAGAATATTAAAAGCATTGTCATTTCTGACAGTTTTTCTATCCTAACACAGCTAGGCAAAAAAAAACTATTCGGATAAGCAGTTATTTTTTCTTCCAATTTTGACAACAACAATAAGAGATAACACTTTTCGATTTTTATTAGGTGCTAGTGTAACTTAGACGTAGCGCTCTCACTTTCACGCAGTGCTGTGTATGCAAATTAAATCTCTTGTATGTTTAAAATTAAATAGTACCATTAGAAGAATAATGTATTTTTCAAAAATAAAAATTGACCATGAATAACCGAAAAAACAAAAAGATGACCCTATATCGTTTTCTTTTCTATTTAATGTATGTCATATGTAAAAGCGAACATTACTTGGCATTAGTTAGAAGATACGAAGATTGATCGATTATTTTATAACAAAAGAACTAAAACATTATTTTAAATAAAAGGTTATCCATTGGAAAACTCTGTTTTCCTGGAAACTGTGGAACGCGTTAATGCTAGCTGGGCTAATACATTTCACACCTTCCACATAAGCCAAAAACAGTACAAAACACGTTTCATACACATTTTATCTCCCTATTTTTTAACCCACGAATAGCCTCAAACGTAACGGCAAAATGAATGTTTATTTTTTCAAAACACTCTATGTAAAAAAAATGTCAAAAGAAATCTGATTTTAATCACATATTCACCCTGATTGATGTAATTCACACAGGTAGCACTGGGTAAGAGTGAGAGTGCTCTGATTAAAGTGAAAATGTTTCTTTTCGTACTTGTTGACTCAACAAAGAGTAAGTGTAAAGCTATGCCAACCTTTGATACACATGGTACACTTCGAGATACGATATCGTTTGATACTTACTCATTATTTGGTCGTCGTGATTAAAACAGATCAAAATCAAATAATCTAATTGAAATAATGTCATTTAAATCGATTTATAATCAGAAAATAGCTGATTAAAATCGGATCTTTTTTTTGTTTTTTACATGGAACTGATTGTTTCACGAACATAATGGTTTAGATAAATAAATTTGAGTGAAACAAAAAAAAAGAGAATAGTGGTTTAGGAATGATGAGTAAGTCTTTCTAATAGTTGTGGCAACGCTGGCTCTTTTAAGAATGAGAATGAAAGTGTGTGTGAAGACGACAATTTAGGCATATGCTAAATATAGACAACGGTACCATAGCAGAGAGAATCATTCGTTTATACTTTCTAGGCTCCTATTGTTTTTTTTTATCTGTTTCACTTATTTTTTTGAATTATTGGTTATCTGTAATATGAATGTGTTAATATAATTAGAATCAACTTCTCCTACATATATTAGAGTTCGTTCCTCCTTTTAACAAAAAAAAAAAAACTTAGTTCTATTATTCCAAAGTCTCTACTATTTTTTTCTGAAATCAATTATCATTCGATCATTTTTCGCAGACTCATTTCATATGATTGACATTAACAGAATTTTTCTTTGAAAATTATTTTACTAGAGAAACAGATCATTGAAGGATGTCATAGATGGCTCTTCATTCAACACTAATCGCCGACTTTCGTATTAGATCTGTAAATTTTCAACTATTCAAACATCTGACGATGGTTAAAAGCAATGGAGAAGTAATTTCGCTTTGATAATCATGTATCTATATCCAAGGGGACAAAAGCGAGACTTCGAAGTATTAACGTTTCGCTTTTGTTCTCGTGATCTGCGTCATAGTTAATGTTGGATAGTTTCATTCTATTAATAGCTTAGTTCACAACGGCATCGAATCTTCAATTATAACATGTAAATGTGTGTGGTAATCACTAGTAACGATTATATTTTTTCATGCAATAAAGAGTTCAGATGTGATTAATGTTATATGCCATGAGCATGACGATAATTGGATTTTTCTTGTAATCGCTTTATTTGCATTCTTGAATAAAATAAAATATGCATCATTTTATTTTTCTTGTTACATAATCTATTTGAAACAAGAATGTGTTGCAACAAACTTTTCGTACTATTAAAGCCATTGATATGAAAATAATAAACGTTGACTATATCGGCAGTCTTCGTGACTTTAGTTATGTACCATCTTGATGGTAGATGGTAATAGTCTTCAAACAAAAAAAATAGACAGTAAGACTTATTAAAAAAGAAATCAGTATCTTGGTATATTAACGAGAATGATACGTTTCTGACTGTTTTATTACATAGATTAACTTCGAGTTTAGATATATATTTATAAAATAGCCAATATATGATTCATGTCTTTCTGAATTTCATGATAGATGACTAAAGGAAATATCACTAATGAGGACTTGAAGCATAAATTAACTGAACTTTTTTGAGGGGAATATATTAACTTGCAAATAACTGTCTTTCCAAATACACACTTTGTAGACTGCTCTAGCACTTTGATACTCTCAACTTGTATAACATATATTTGTTTTCTCTCTTCTTCGATTTCTTACACGAGTACATATATACTTAACGGATGATATTCAAAAACTACTTATTTATTGTTGAAGAATGTCAATAAAACAAGCTGATACAAATTGTACTATTTATTTTCCTATTTTTAAATATTGAGATAAAAAAAATCAAATCAATTCTTATAAATTTACTACATAAATCTCAAAAGAAACTTTAATGAATGACAAATCAAAGAAGAAATATTATGATTAATTGAAGCAAATATGCCTGAAACTATATAGTAAAATAAATCGTATAGTCATATGGTTTGATCTATCGACCATTGTTGACTCCATTATTTTGGTAAAAGTCACAAATATACTTGAAAAAATGTCCCTGATTTTTTGTCTTTATGTATAAATATCTTTAGCGAAAAGTGTCCTTCACTATTAAATTCCCTCGGAGAAAAACATGAATAATGCTTGATAACAACGTAATTTTAATTCTATTTTTCAATCACAACAAAAAAAAAAGAAAATCTACTCTATAATTCTCGCACCATACAGTAGTTATACTTGAATCCGATATCTAATTTTGAGTTCCTTGTTTCGTAATTCTAGACTTTGACCATGCTGTAATAATTATCAAGTATGGACCAAAAGAAAAGCTTGCCGTCTCACACTTATTCACATATCCTATTTATAGATGTACAGAGTAACTGTTCAATTCTTCATAAAAACATATTTTCTATTATTTATACAAATAATAGACTCTAATACAAGCAAATTCAGTTTCAAACAACAAAGCATACCACAATTGGATGTAATATATAGACAATCAAATCAGATTTTGGATAAAGCTACTACTTGACTATTTTCAAATTCGAGTCTCAACTATGTCAATGATTGTGATCGGAAAGCTAAATATATTAGATAAAGTTGTTCGTATAGTGTTTTTCGAATCCTATAAATAAATAGTGTTAGAGTGATTAATTAGTGTGTCTGAAACAAGGTAGGTGCTGACCGATGAAGAAAAATGTTAGGTAATGATAATCAAAAAGAAACCAATACAATACATGAATGATGCCATAACTTCTTGTCGACTTCTCAAGTTAAATTCAAGATCATTTTAGATATGAAGTTCTAATCAAAATAAAAACAAAAATGAGTTGACCTGTATTTTCTAAATCATTTCTTGTTTATCTTGAAAGAGTTTATGAATGAAACCACATGATTCGAAAAGAATATGAAACTCAATATACATCTTCTTCTAGATAGACAAGCAATAGTAATATATACATAACTTGGTTCATATGATTAGTTTCTTTTCATGTATGTAAACATTATTGATGTTTATTAGCATCGACACACATATGTAGTACTTCAAAATGAATTGCTTCCAGATGTTATATGTTATTGCATGAAGAGATTCAGAATGATATCTGCGAATTAAGATTATTAGTTACATAACAATACAAACAATTATGGTTTTGTTTTTGTTAGTGAAAATGGCATCAATCTATACCAAATGATTTCTATTCCCGTTATTTATTCCATTATATAAATGAGATTAAGATAAATGTATGAGAATGTTTTTCTTGCTATTTTTTGTGTGGAA